CGGTGCCACTTCGTGAGGGGGTGACCGGGCCCTGCCGGTGCCGTTGGGGTCGTGAGGCGCCGCGCGGGAGCCGAGGGGTGGTGCGGCCCGGCAGAGCCTCTCCCGGTGGTGAGTCCTCGGTTCCGTGCTCTTGCAGATGGCCCGGACGCAGAAGAACAAGGCCACGGCTCACCACCTGGGGCTGCTGAAGGCCCGCTTGGCCAAGCTACGCCGGGAGCTCATCACCCCCAAGGGAGGCGGCGGCGGCGGCCCCGGGGAAGGTGCGTTGTTCTGCGGGAAGGCTCCGGCCGCCTCGGCGGCCTCTGCAGAAGTGGCCGCTCCTGCCTGCTGAAGTGCGGGGTGTGTGACGGAAATCGATCTAACGGGGGTGGCTCTTGTCCGCTCAAGTCGTTACAGACTCCCCGCTGAATAGATCGGAGCAGCCGCCTTCTCTCCCTCTTGTCCTTCCCGGTACAGGACCTTAGCTGTGGTTTCTAGGCCTTTCTAGGGCTTTGGGGTGGAGCCCTTGTTGAATCGTAAATGAAAGGACTTCTGCGTTTTTGCTAATATAATCTTGTATTTGCAGAAGTCTTAGGGGTTTTTACATGAAGAAGCATCTTGCAGCAGGCACCTATTTTTATATATAAAGGTGTGAATTGCGTAAGCTGCAGTGCTTAAAGGGAGTGCTCCACCTACACCCAAGTCAAGTATAGCCCACTGGGAAGTCTTGCAGCCTACACTTTATTGACAGGTACATGCCATGGAGTGTTACACAGACAAAGTGGTGCAAGGCAATATAGATTGTGAACTCTCTGTTTCATACTTTCATTCTCCTTGTTAGGGAAGCTTACTTGGCTTTCATTCAGGCAATATTAAAAGTAGTAGCGGGACTGCTGTCCAGATCCTTAGAAGATAGAAAATGTTGATCTTCAAACGAATATTTTTGCTCCTTATTTGCAGGTTTTGATGTTGCAAAGACAGGTGATGCCCGAATTGGGTTTGTGGGTTTTCCATCAGTGGGGAAATCTACTCTTCTAAGTAATCTTGCTGGTGTATACTCTGAAGTGGCAGCATATGAATTCACTACACTAACTACCGTGCCTGGAGTCATTAGATACAAAGGAGCAAAGATACAGGTGAGATCTTTTTGTGTCTGTGAGGATAAGATTGTGTATGTAGATGCAGTGGTGTTACGGCTGAATGGTCTAGCCTGACATCAGCAGGTTAGAAGTGACATGTAGAAGTGCTTGAGAATACATTGGAAATGTTGCCTTGAGGTACTAATTTTACCCTGCTTTTCACTTTGCTCTGGGGAGAAGTTCCTGTGGTAGTTCTCACATTCTGTATGAGATGATCTGTTGCATTGTACTAATAGGGCACCAGGGATAATACAATATATAAGAATCAAAGGGGAAACAATTCTATTCAGATTTGCAGTAGAGTCAGCTGGTTTAGGAGAAAGGTAAAAGTAGGATTTATTTTCTCCATGAAGAGAAATATTTTTCTCATGAGTTACTTTCCTTCTTCTGAACAAATAGCTACTTGATCTCCCAGGAATTATTGAAGGTGCCAAGGATGGTAAAGGCAGAGGACGGCAAGTCATTGCAGGTGAGTATATTAGAGCTGGAGGCAGCATCCTATCACTGGTTCAGTTAGTACAGTTTATGAGAATGAAGGGTTGAATCGCTGTTTCTGATGTCTTTAAAAAGCCGAATTGTATGCTGGAATTGAGCTGCCTGATGTGAAGCAGTAGCCATTTTTATTTTGTTCTGTTTTCAGTTCTGGCTTTATGCATTTGCTGAGTTCATGCTCGGCATTGATACTGCAGTGAAAGTATGTTACCAATTTTGAAGGCACATATGATCCCATATTAAACAAGGCTGCTGTCCTAATTTCTTTACCTAGCTTATTGTCATCATTCTGGGCTCTGAATGTAGACGGGAAGATTTTTTCAGCCTCTGTGATTCTTAAAACATGTAAGGATCTGTCTATCATCAGTGATGCTTGGCCAGCACTACAAACTTCACTCTTCTACTGGAATTTAAAAATAAGCAATGTACTGTCCTTCAGGGGTTTAATATTGTCATCAAGTCCACTGAGCCATATTTTGTGTTGTTTTGTCTCAGATTGTGTGAACGTACTTTTTTGAGAGATGACTTTCTTTTTCCGATTCTTAGTTGCTCGAACCTGTAATCTCATTCTGATTGTTCTGGATGTGCTGAAACCCCTTGGTCACAAGAAAATAATTGAGAATGAACTGGAGGGATTTGGAATTCGTCTGAATAGTAAACCCCCCAATATCGGCTTTAAAAAAAAGGATAAAGGAGGCATTAACCTTACAGCCACAGTAAGTTAGAAGTTTTCTTTAACCAAAATAAAAAAAAAAATTGCTTGAAGAAAGAAGCATTTGCAGTTAATGGTGTGCCCGGGACTATTCCTGTGCTCTGACTTCTTTAGAAGCTGAACTGCTGTACTGTTCTGTAGTCAGTTACTTTTCTTGGAGGCCATCCATACCTGCCCTAGGAGCCTGACCACTTCCCCACCCCCAAATCAGAGGCTTGGTTGCTTTCCAACAATTACAAGTTCCGAGGCCCAAAAGAGAGTGTGCAAAAACTGCCTCTTGCTTGGTGGCTACTGCATTCTTCTGGAGAAGATTGCTCAGAGTTCCAGGCCTTGCAACCTGGACTACTCCTCATTTCCCATTTCCCACTGAATCTTCAAAAGCGTAGAAATAGCCAGAGATACCAAAAATCAGAACTCTGCTCTGGGATCTAGGTATCTAACATGTAGTTGTCTGGGCACTGAACTAGTAGATACGTGGGTTTGTATTGCAACTGGTCCCACATTGACAGGAAACACTACTTCTGAAATGTCTGATTGCAGCTATCAGTGGGGCATTAATAGAAATAAAGCTGTTAGGATTTAAATCTTTTTTCCTTTTCCTGAGGCTAACTATGGTAAAATCATAGTCAAGTCCAATAACTTACAGTGCAGCTATTATTTCTAGTAATCTGTATGCAGCGATTGCTAGGTGATAGCATTATTAATTGTAATACTTGATTTGACTGTAAACGCTTCCATTCCTTAATACTGTGTCTATGTTCAGTGTCCTCAGAGTGAGCTGGATACTGAAACAGTGAAGAGCATCTTAGCAGAGTATAAAATTCACAATGCTGATGTCACACTGCGCAGCGACGCCACTGCTGATGACCTAATTGATGTTGTTGAAGGGAACAGGTACTGTTGGGACCCTGGGTTTGGCATACTTGCGATTTATATTCCAAAGAAAAGAACTGTCTCTGAGGTTTGCTTCCCGTGGAAGCTAAGCTAGCAATGTGGTATCAACAAGTGCTGTTTAGCACCTTACTGCCCTTTTAAAAAATGAAGCTTTTTCGAAGGTAGCGGTGTATTGCTGCTGGGCTGCTGTAATGGTATTTCCTTCTCTTTGCAGAGTTTACATCCCATGCATTTACGTCCTAAATAAAATTGACCAGATTTCCATTGAGGAACTAGATATCATTTACAAAGTACCCCACTGTGTACCAATATCTGCTCATCATCGCTGGAACTTTGACGATCTGCTGGAGAAAATTTGGGACTACTTGAAGCTAGTACGAATGTGAGTCCCAGTTGCTGCCTTCTGCGGAGTTAAGTGTAAGGCTGAGACTGAAGAATGTCTCAAGAATGGATGAATGATGATTATTTTGTAATGGTTTTCTGCTAGCATAGAGCTCTAGCTTTCAAATGATGATGTCTTTTGTCACTGAAGTATGTTTAATCTGTAAATCAGAGATTGTGCTCCTCTTTGTCTGTTGTGTGACGGACAGAGTTTCCTAACAGTCACAAGTGCTGTGTTTTGAACTTCTTGTAGGGGAATCAAATGAGGACCTTGTGAAATCAAGTCCAAAATAAGTTTTAAAAAATTCCTGAAAACATGGACTTCTGGTCAAATTTAGTGCAAAGTTATGAATTTCAGAGGTACCTCTTTTCAGTCTGTCATGAGTGACATGCATTCAGCTCTCTTAACAGAACTTAATTTAGTTCTTCATCTAGCCTTTCAGGTATTTTTACTATATGTTATTACAGGTTTACCTCATACTACTAATGCAATTCTTTGGGTGAATTTATGGATGAATCTATTCATACTCATAATGCAGTAATTGTAGTCTTTTAAACGTGTATCTATCTTCTTGTGACAATATAAAATTATTGTAAAAAGGGATTTAGTATGTCTAGGTATCTGGGCTATAGACTTTGTCAGTTTTTTTCCTAATATACATTGAGTTTTTCACAGAAAAAAAATCACAAATCAGAACCATAATACTGTAGATGTTCTTTTCCATCAACTATTCCTGTTTCATCTTCTTTTAAGCAACTACAGAAAGCTCACTCTAGGGATAAACCTTCACAGTTACAAGGGAGAACCTGCTGCAGCCATTGGCTACCCAGGTGCCTTTTCAGCTTAAGAACACCAAACAATTTACAGAGTATCTATCGTCACCACTGAAATAGTGGAACTCAGCACAAGCGCCTAGGATGACAGTGCGAATAACCTATGAGATTTCACGATGGGTTGAGAAGAGGAGGTTTTGGTATTGACTGACTGTTCCATCTGCGTTACAGCTACACCAAACCTAAAGGGCAGCTCCCAGACTACACCTCTCCTGTGGTACTACCTTACTGCAAGACCACAGTGGAGGATTTTTGCATGAAGATCCACAAAAATCTCATTAAAGACTTTAAATAGTAAGTATTATTGTAAAAGAATAATCTATAGAGAATAGAAAATAATCTGCCTCCTGGTATATTCTTTCATTTTCTTGTAAACTAGAAGGGAAAACAGGGTTTGATGTTTTTGATGCTGAATGGACTAGATCTCCCTATGACAATTAATACTTAAATTACTATATTTGATGTTCCTATGCTCTTTCCTGGATAAATTTCCTCTACAGGGAAAATGTTTTATCTTTATATTTGAAAGCAGCACTAGATGCAGCATTATGGGCCATCATCCTGTATGCACAAGTATTTCGAACGACTTCATACTTTGTTTTGATCTGCTTGTACTCTGGTTCACACAGACCACTCAGCCAGGTACTTGCAGAACAAAAAGAGCTCTTAAGCATTGCTTTCTGTATTAGCTTTGTGACAGAAGTAGCTGTTGTTCTGCTGTTTGCGTATTATACTTCTAAGCCTTTCAAATTTTATTTTTCTTCTCCTTTCAGTGCATTGGTCTGGGGTTCATCTGTTAAACACAACCCTCAGAAAGTTGGTAAAGACCATACTCTTGAAGATGAGGATGTTATTCAGATTGTGAAGAAATAAAGTTGTTCTGACGTGGTTTGCCACTGTGCCTGGAATTTGTCATTAGTTGTAAGTGGCAAAGAACAGGCTGTTTCTTTCAAATCTATAGCAAATGGGTATTGTTTTTTTATGGCAGTACCTTACTGCGTGGTAAAACTCATGTTTCTGGCCAACGTGTACTGCACCGTCCCATTCTGGCAGAACTTACGGATGAGAAACTCATGTTAAGTGACTTTCACAAGGGCAAGATCTTACAAGGAAGCTTTGATGCCCGGGATGATTTTCTGCTGCATGTACATGTCTATCCAAATGGGAAAAAAGTTCACACATCAGAAACTACTTTGTTCTAAATTAGAACAAAACATGAAGAGCAGAGGCTGGAGAACCATATCTTACGAAACAATGCTAGAGGACACAGTTCTAGCTCTTGTTTGAATACTTCAAGGCTATCAATAGTCCTGCAGTTATGGAAAAGATGGTAGGTTCTACTCATGAGCAGTCACTTTTTCAGTTGTTCATGAGTGGAAGTAAGCGATGCCTGTGTTCTACTGTGTTAGTGACTGGAAGCTTTTAAGTTTTCTCTAAACTAAGCAGGAAATTCTTTTAAGAAGTCAGATAAGTTGCACAAGAGAAGCAGACTGCTCTAAAGGCAGTGGATCTATTGCTTTTTAGTAGAAATGAATAAAGTTAGAGCTCTGACCTGAGCAAAAAGCTTATCAAATGCATCACCCTCTAGCATTTCCTCTCCTACAAAAAGGAAGTAGGGGTATTTACTTAAATATGTCAGAAATGCTCCCTCTCATGTTACTATGCATATAAGAAGAGAAGTACAGTGATTTCAGACACCCATTCAAGTACTAAATCCTTGCAACAGTGGTTGCTACTCAGCCTGGTAAGAAAACATTTTCCCTAATATTTTTTCTAAGCTTAGAAGTAGATTCCTGCGTAAGTGAGCTGAACTACTGCAGCTGTGCTGGGGTTATCAGCCTTGACTGGAAGGGGGCAGAGTAGAAGCTACGAAGAGCAAACCTCATTCACCCTTTCTTCAGGGCTGGTTAGTTTTACGAGTTGTTCTGGTACACTGGAATCTCATTCCTTACACTTAACCATGGCTGTACAAAAACATTTAAATGCAGCAATTCCATTGTACGTCTTTAGTGAGGCCAGTTACCTTCAAAGCAGACTGTTCCTCTCCCCTACATGGAAGATAAGTTTTCTTACTTGGAAAACATGGAACTTTTCTGCAGATTCAGCTCAAACAAGAACAATGCTAAAAATTAGTCAATATACTGACATTATAATTTAGTTTAAGAGCAGTTGATACAGACAGCTGGTAGAATCAACTTTATTTACAGAATGTTACTGGGAAAGTGTCAAGTTAAAAAAGTATGAAAACAATCTTACAAGGACAAGCTGGTGATTGCATGTTTTACAGATTGTTTTAGGAACAACCACTAGAAGTATGGGTGACCCCCAACAGATTCCACATTGGAGATTTCAGCTTGCTATTTCTGTACAACATTGTCTCTGCTGGACTGAAACAAACCCACCACAGCATGCTGGCAATTGTTATAATACAGTCAAGTGATTTTTTTTTTCCCCTGCTGCTGGTTTTGCATTCAGTGAGACCTAAGAAAGAGCAAGTCCGTGAGAATTCTGGTTTTGCTTTCACCTTTTAAAAAAGAGCACAATGGCCTAAGCTAGATAGAGGACATGACAGCAGTACTAGACTCAACACAAGTGAGAAAGTGAAGTGAGGAACCATGCAGTAGAAGGATGGAAGAGAACACTTAACTGTTCAGGAAAGTGAAACGGGCTTAAAAGGAACATAGTATTTTAAAACCAAATATACACAGTAAGATCACAAAATTACCCCATCCTCCCCCTTTCAAGCCACAGAACAAGACTCCAAGGGCAAGTTTCACAGTAACTGCATCGGTAGATGCATGCTAGATTTAGGACAGTTCTTGGGACTCCCTTCTATAAATAGAACTGAAGGCAGTATAGAACATACCACAGCTATGACTGAGGAGTTGAAGGGTGAGGATGTAAAGGCTCCATTTTGATGACCTTTACTAACTGGTTTGAAAGATTAAAACAAGGAAAATACTGCAGCTAAACAAGGACCAGCACCAGCCCTCTTGACAGAACTGTGACCAGTAGGTACCTACAGTCTCTTTGCTTATGGCAGACTAAGATCTGGCTTTATCATTACTGTACCAGGTCCCATCCTCAAGGCTGTTTTGAAGACTAAACAATTCTCATTTGATGGCAAGGAATCAGACCTTTGTTATACAGACAGCAAGATGTGGGCTTTTTACTTTGACACTTTAGCTACACTGAGTGCACAGTACGTGACAGAAGAACGTGAGAGGGAGACCTAGAAGAGATGAGCAGCAAGAAAAGGCAAAGCAACTTTATCCTGTTCACTCACACTTAGGATATGCAACTTTAATCTTAAAGAAAGTCCCACATGTACAATGGAGAAAGATCCAAACCATAGGCACAACTAAAGCTCAACTGTTATCAGCTACTCTTATGTACAGCTGTATAGATTCAAAAAGGCTATTCTATGTGTATATATACAAAAGATTGTTTATACACAAGTCTGTACACAAGGGTCTATACATTTAGTTTTCTGCAGGAGGAATCCATAGCTGCTACCTCTACACTAGAGAATATCAGCACTTCATTCACATATCTTACAAAAACAAAAAATAGACACTTCCAGGATTAAACTGGCTTTGTCTTGCATCTGAATTTCTTCAGGCTTCACTATTCAAGCCATAATGGATCCTTTAGTCTTGATGCAGACATGAGACCAGGACAGGTGCCATGTGCTTTAGTCTCTCAAAAAGAAATTTTGCACAGAGTGCTAAAAATAAAAGCCCCAAAAAACAAACAGAGGTGAAGTCCTGACTATGGACATTTTTATCCAGTCTAAAGAATCACAAGTGTCCCACCCAGTGGTCACTGTTCACTGCCGGTATTCCAGTTCATCTACACTGATGACTTTGGATGGCATGGAAGGGAGAGGCTGCTGCAAGACATCTGAACCAAACCATTTTGCAAGGCCAATGGGAGAGCCACTTCTCTGGCTGGGGCGGTGGTCAAGCTGTGTGTGCCCATGAGATAATCCAGTCCGAGACAGCACATTCTGAGGGGTTGTTTGCGCACCAGCGGGTGATCCCTGTGCTCCAGTGCCTGTGAAATGTAAAGCTATTAGAGGCGGAGTAATACGTTCACCCAACTGAGATTTGCCCAGAGCAATGACTCGATAAGGCGTGCGAGCTGAGTGTAGCTTTTACCCGTTCTATTAGCCTTGGGAAATCCAGACCCCACATGTTTATTCTCTTGTTAGTACTCCTGTAAACTGCCTGACACTGCCAGTTCTGGACACAGTATCATGCAGGTTTTAACTGGAAGACCAGCATCAAATAGCATTTTGTTTGAGATAGGTGGGTGGCCTCTCACCCAGCAAGGAAGGAAAGACTGCAATACATGCTGCAAGGGGCAGGTCTGTCAATAGCAACATGTATCTTGAAACTGAATGCTTCACTTGGACTTTCTTCTGGCATAAGAGAGAGTCTGCAGTGGCCAGAACTGCTCTGATACCCACACAAGGTTAGCAATTATGAATATCTAAATTACTGAAGTAGCTTCCTGTTAGCACAGTATACTGAAACAGGCCAACAAGTATAGTACCTGGAGCAGGCTAGTCAGTGTTCTAAAACTCACTCCTGTTTTATGTTTTAGCCTACCTGATCGCTGTAGTTGCTGTTGCATCATCGCTAGCTGCAAAGGTGTCCCAGAGCGTGGATTTAAGATGTGATGGCTGGCTGTTGGTAGTGGATAAAAAGGTTGGCCAAGGATGGGAGCAGATATTCCCTGCAAGTGAGACAGGTCCACTCCAGGAGGAAGCATACCTGTGAAACAAGAGTGAGGAAACTTCTTACCTAATAAGCATGAAGAACTGCAAGCAAAACAAACGTTTATATATTTAAATGGGTTGGAATTTGTTGCCTGGTTTTAAAGGTAAGTTTTGATGTAATAAACATTACCAGTAATGAGTATCAGTTTGTGCTGTTCCTAGCACAAAGTCAGTCTTACAGAGAACATGCATTAACTTAAGGGGGAAAAAAAAAAGTATGGATTACCTGCTTGCAGTAGAGGAAGATGTTGCGGATGAACCCCCTGTGCCAGCATTCTCTGGACCAATCCTGGATGCAGTTGATGAGCAGGTCGTACAATTGGTACATGGGGAACAAGGGGTACTTGATGAACAGGACGAAGAAAAGGGCCTCCTGGTACTGGGGAGGCCATTGTAGGAGTCTTTCTACCAGTTGATTTAGGCCTGTAGTCTTGCTCTTTGGTGCAACGATTTGCTTGGGTAAGAGGTGTGGAACATGCAGAGCGTTGCAGTGCAGGTAGTTTGGTACCTAAGGTGGGCAAAGTTTCTTGATCTGCATTCTCCACAGAACTAGACAGTAGGTTATCTGTAGCTAGAATTGAATACAACTATTATAGTCCACAGCTAGAGATTACAGCTAATGAAAATTAAAGCTAATAACTGGCTTTGATAGCTATATTCCAGGAGTAGCTGAACTTTAGTCATATGGATTTAATAGTAAGCATCTGTCTTTCCTGGATGCTTTTGGCCAAATTATATCAAAACAGTAATGAGAAGGAATATGTTCCACAGAAATCCCTTGACAGCAAGCTTAAATTAGGTCACAATCAGCAGTGACTCCACCTGTAATTCTTATTTTTCCTCTTTCTTAGAAATTTTGAACGGGCAGCATGGATGAGTCAGTCCCAAAGGAGACAGGAGGTACAAGGGATCCTCCCTAGACAAGATTATAATTTGGGGTTGTGCCAGAAATCTAGCCTGAAGTGGTTTTTCAGTTTAGATGTGTCTCGGGGTTAGCAGCAGCCTTCTATGTCTGACATCTGCTTGGAAAGATTTGGAACACTAAAGCACCTCAAGAAGCTACTTCCACAGACCATATAGATCAGTTAGACAAGGCCTAAAATATCTTAGA